ATCTGACATTTCTTAAATAGACCTCCCCATGACTTAGCAGTTGGTTAAATAACCCTCATCAGAGGTCTTTATTTTCAAAATAACTGCAGTCCTGCTAAGCTTCAAGCTAGCCTGCTTCAACTTAAATGGGTTTATAAAATCTACAGCAATGGACAGTAGTGTCAGAAACTTCACATTCACTTGTCACTTACTCCACTGACTTACCCAGAGCAACTTCCAGTCCTCTGAGTACTGGTACATATTCACCACTCATGGTAAATGTCCTGTATCAGTACATAATTTTTTTCTTTTATATAATATTTTTGCCATACCTTTTCTATATTTATATTCCCAAACTTACCACAGTAATGAGCTATACAGGTTTGTAGCCTAGAAGCAAAAGGCTATACCATATGGTCTAGGTGGTATAGCAAGCTTTACTAACTAAATCTGTGTAAGTACACTCTGCAATGTTGTTATAAGAATAAAATCACCTAAAACCACATGTCTTAGAATATATCCTCATCACCACGCAACACATGGCTGAACTCGCTATCCAAACTAATGTGTAAGTCTCTCTTTATTGGTAAGATTTTTTAACCTCCCCAACAACTACTAACACCTATAATCCTTTGGATAGTAATGGTTTAATTTGTTATTTTTTTATATGATCTCACATTTGGCATTTCTTCAAAGTATGGGTATCCTCAGGGGCCTGAGTTGAGATTTTTTTCATCTGGAGTGTTTGCTTCTACCAGCCATCAGGACACAATGCCCTTCCTCCACTTTTAACTTTTCAAATATGTTTTCCTCAGACTATACTGAGTAAAATCATACCCCAAATATTCCTAAAGGTAAACTTGTGATTATGAATTCTGGGGATATACTTTTTTTTTTCCCTACTTTGTATTAAAGCCAGGACAGACAAGACTAGCCTGATTTCCTCCCTTTACCAGTAAGCAGATTGTATTTTATCTTCAAGTATACCAGCCTTATGGAGCAGTCTCTGCCAACTTTGTCCCCAGCTCCTCCACAGTCACTTTGTGTGAGTTTTATTTGTTTTGTTAAACTACTATTGCAGCCAACTTTTTTTTTTTAGCAAAAATCCTCAACATGACTCTGAGTGAGCTTATGCTTATCACACTTCTGTTCAGTTCATGTTCTCCATCTCAACCACTGAATCCAACCAACCAGATTCCCCTGTCTTCAACTATTATCTTGAATAAACTGTAAGTACTATGAATCTTTTTTTTTTCTTTAGGTATGGACACAGGATGCATGTGCTCACCAGAGAAAGGACCCGGAGAAAGAGAAAGTGAAAAATCCCCCTCCACATCTCCCACAGGAGATGGTCATGTTGCAATCCCTTTTCCTTTATTCTCTTCTTCAGATTTTGGGCATGCATGCACACACACTGGGTGTGATTTTCAAGCCACCAGGTCAAGGACTTGAACCAGTCAACTAAGTGGAATCCAGTTCCTTAACCACCACACCACCTGCTGGCCCCTATGAATCTCTTCAGAAGTTGAATACATAGATTTTATAACACAAAATTTATGATACCTACTTTACTGCAGGAATTGCCAAGTGTTCATTTTTGTTTTCTCCCCTCATCCTCCCATTGTTTTCAATAACAAGACTTTTTATCCATATTTTTGACAATAAAAAAAAAATTAGGAATTTCCTGTTTTCTACTCTTCTCCTCATAGAATAAACTAAGATGTCAATCTAATCCCTTGGCCAATTGAAGTGTTGTTACTTGTATTATGATCTGTAGAACCAAACTTCATTAGTCAATTCCTTTCTAAACAAAGACTAGTAACTCCTGATACCACAAACACAAAATATTTTAATAGAACAATTACCTATTTAAGGATCATACTTTCCTTGGATGGAGGATGGGTAACAACATTGGGACATGGCCTCATAAGGACACACTGCATTTCTAAGGTACTGCTAAACTTGGTCTTTTAAAAATTTGGATACTTTAAAAATTTGGATACTTTGCCCAAAAAATATACTTAAGTCATATACTTAAATGTTCACTATCTTGGTTACCTCCAAAAATCACAAAAAGTTCTTGAATAAGTCTTTTGAGTTTCATTGTTTTGTAGAAGACTGGGGTGGTCACATGGGAGAGCAGAAAAAGGGGAACTGGAAGCCAGGGCACAGGTGGACAACAATAAAAACACTGCAGTTACCTAAGATGGATGGGCTGGAGCAGAAATCATGGGACCAGTGGTTTGGAACAGATCTAAGGTAATCTATTATAGATCAACCTCCTAGTACATAATACTTAAATTGAGAGTGAAAGGAGGGATACTAGAATCTAAGCTCCACCAGAATATAAGTCCTCACTGATTTATTAGATACCTCAAGACGGGCCTGGCACATAACACTCATTCAAAGAACACCTGACTGAATAAATACAATACTGTTTGACAGAATACAGTAAAAGCGGGAAAATACAGATTTGGGGGGGGGGGGGGGGCTGAATGTGGGAGGCAAAGTCTAGAAGAAAATCCCGTGCCAAAATTGAGCACGTCAAGTGTAGCTAGTTCTGAAGGAAGAGTATGCTAACGGCAATCTATGACAATATAATCTATTAATACCTACATTTCTACTATGACCTCAAAGGCCTTAGTTTTCTTGAGTGTACCCTTTACCTAGGCTGGAAGAAATACAAATCCTTAGGTGGTTAGAGATTTCCAAGAATTCGCTAACCACCTAAAAATGTTTCTTCCTAGACGATGCCTGCACATTCTTCCTGTTCTTTCTGCACACAAGCGCCAGGAGGAGCGGAGCGCCAAGAGGAAAGTTGACAGGGAGGTGACCGGAGATAATCGTGTCTCTGCCGCAACTGCAGCACCTTCCTCCATCTTGGCGGCATCCAACAGGGGAGAGCTGAAGATGACTTAAAGCAGTGACCGGGTGGAGGCGGAATTAAGAACAAGGTCACGAGGTCGGGCAGCACTTGGCGCCAGCCGCGGAAGTTAAGACCGAGTCTGGGGAAAGGTCACCAGCTGACTGAACATTTCCAGGATATCTCAAGGTGTGTAAAAGTTAGGGCGTCTCTCTCAAAACTCATTACGTCAACACGCCCAAGAACTGTTACCTTAACAGGTTAAGGCTCTCTATTCATACCTCACGACTCCGCTCCACCCTCCTGCTCTGTACACGCAAGCGCACAGAGGCCCTACGGTGATGTCAGCCTCTCCCGGAACCACCTAGATGTCGTACCGCCAAAGGCCTGTCGTAAAGGCCGGGCAACAGAGGCCCAGTGAGGAAGGGCACCACCCGGCACACCCTACCCTGCTAGCCTACTCTGCTAGCGGCATGCGCGCGCAGGTCGTTAACGCAGACCTGGAGACCGGAGCCAATGAGGTGCGACTACGTCACTGCGTATCTGCCCTCCGGCCAAACGTCGGGCCGCGGGAGGGCGGAGCGAGTTCGGTTGCACCAACACCGGTACATAGGCGCAGACCGGCGTGTCCTTGGACTTAGAGAGCGGGTCGTCTTACTCCTGAGCGGTTACTCTATATCTCCAAGCGACAAAACAGAGGTAAGCGCGGGGCGCAGAAGCCGCAACAGATGGGAGGCCGCTGTGGGAGGTGTGCGCCAGCGTGCTGGGCGCGCGGCCAAGCCGGGGCCCACGCGGACTCCCCCGAGTGAAGCCCTTTTGGTCTGGGCTGGGAGTGAGGACCTGGACTGTGGCCAGCCAGACTCAGTGGGTTACGGCTTGAGGTGGGGCTGTACCTTTACTAGGTACAGTATGGACTTGGTCAAGGACTGAGGGCGTTTTGGGTGTGGGTCGGACGAAAACGCTGCCCTTCCATCTTCGGTGCGGAAGGACTGAAAGTGACAGACAAGACGTCCTCCCAGAGGACCGGAATTGGGGGCTGTGCGTGGCGCTTCGTGACCTCCTTCAGAGAGCAGAAGCTGCTGCTCCTCTAGTAAGGGGTCCTTTCTCTTCCTGGCTACCTGCCATTTCTTCTGCTAACTGTTCAGGCGTCAGGGAAAAGAGGATTTCATCAGCCTCCTTGAAACCGACTTGGAATGGGCGACCTCGTGGTCGCCACCAGGGATCTCAGAGGTGGAGGGTGGGGATGACCCTGTAAGACCTCTCACCCTGCTGCTTCTCACTTGTCCACAGGGAGGCAAGTTAGAACTACGGTTAGAACTGTGTGACCTTAGTAGTCTGAAACAGGCAGGACATCTTTTTAGCAATTGTTGTGCCTTCCTTATGCTCAGGAGTGGTTTAAATTGTACGACAAAATAATTAGTACCTCTTAAAAGTTGGAATTTAGTGGTTTCGGTTTAATGTAACCACAGTTCAGGTTTAGGTTTGTGACTCTGACCTTGACCTTTTTTTGAAATGAGTTTGAACTAGATTCTCACTTTACTTATTTAGGCTTTAGCCTTCTGTTAGATAGAGATATGTTTTTAAGGAAGTTCTCCTAAGCAGGTTTTTTTTTCTTTTATTTTTCTTTTTCTTTTTTGAGAGGTTTTTGCTATAGGGTGCATGCGCTCTCCAGAAAGACAGAAAGCAAAAAATCACCTCCCAGAGGGGATGGCCACGCCACAATCCGTTCTCCATTTTCCTCTGGGGATCTTGGGCACACATGCACACACACCCGGCGTGAGTTTAAGCCTCTGGGTCTGGGACTTGAACCACAGGCGACTACATGGGAGTCCAGCGACATAGCCTTTACACTACCCGCTGGTCCCAGCAGTTTTGGTTTTATAGAGTATTTGGAGTATACTAAGTAAAATGAAATTTATCGTTGTACTGAGCGTCATAGATTAGCAGTGGGTTAGTGATCAAATGACTCTAGTGATCGTTGGTTTCCACTGTGTTTGCTAACTTGAGGGGAGAATTTACTAAGTTGAGTCTTTCATTTTTAGAATTAAAAATGGGTGATGTTGAGAAAGGCAAGAAGATTTTTGTTCAGAAGTGTGCCCAGTGCCACACCGTGGAAAAGGGAGGCAAGCACAAGACTGGCCCAAATCTCCATGGTCTATTTGGGCGGAAGACAGGTCAGGCCCCTGGATTCTCTTACACAGATGCCAACAAGAACAAAGGTGAGAGTAAGAGAGTTGTTTAATAAACAATACAAATTGCATAAATGTAACCTAAGGCAATCTCAGTATTAGAGATATAAAATACTTAACCATTGCATCTCTTCTTGTTTAGGCATTACCTGGGGAGAAGATACACTGATGGAGTATTTGGAGAATCCCAAGAAGTACATCCCTGGAACAAAAATGATCTTTGCTGGCATTAAAAAGAAGTCAGAAAGAGCGGAGTTGATAGCTTATCTTAAAAAAGCTACTAATGAGTAATAGGTGGCCACTGCCTTATTTATGACAAAACAGAAATGTCTCACCTTTTTTATGTGTACCATATTTTAATTGATCATCTACACCAGAACTCAGATCATGAATGGCTGACAGGTTATTTTTGTTGGACAATCCTGATTTAAATAAGACTGGCTTGTGGTTAAATTAATATTGTTTTTTGTTTTTGTTTTTATTTTGATAGTAATTTCAATTCAGTAAGTGCTATCACTATTTGTGCCCTTTCTAAAGATATATTTAGTAATTCATTAGTGATGCTCATATTTCTACAAAGATGGTGAATACCATCTCAAAGCCTACTGGAGATTAGTTTTATTTAGGCTTATATGTAACTGGTTATATGAATATATAAATGCTGG